ATGCAGCCAACAACAACAACAACAGCTGAGAACAATCTGCAGTCTCATCGAAATTTAGAAGATTTGAAACTTTTTTCGTTGTTCGCTGGCTTTTTAAAGGACAACAGTTAAATTAACATAGAAATAAGAAAATAAATTAAAATTCCCGATTTCGCATAATTACGGCAAAATAAAAGCTAAACAATAAAATTGAAGACAATTGCATTAGGAGTCTCATTAAAAATAATTTAAAGCAAACAGCGCCGAAAAAACTTTGCCCGCTCGCTGTTTCGCCTGGAAACGAAGATATTTGGCATGCGTATAAAAGTTAAACATATAAGGCCAACAATTTCAAATAGAAATGGAATGAAAACAATATGCAGCCCAGCCACCACTACACAGCGAGGCAAACGGACGGCCCTGCCATGCAAATGCCTCGAAGAGCTGTCTGTGACAACGCGACGTGGCAGGCATCTAAGGACGCTAAAAGGCTGCTGGCCTCTTGTTTTGATAATGAATAACAGGGCCGAGCGGCAGTGGACGAGCTGCTACTACAACTAAAAATTGCCCAAACATTAACGAGCGTCTGCGAAAAACTTGCAACTCACAGTTGAAACTGCAAATTGGTGCTTGGCAGCTGGACGAGTTGTGTTGTGTTGGGCTGGGCTGGGCTGGTCTTGAGGGCTGAGTGGTTGAGGGGCTGCAGTGCTGCTGTTTGCATTGTTTGCAAAATGCTTCAAGTAAATTATGCAGAGTTGCAGCAGCGAAAGTTAAGCGTACAACAAAGTGGAATTTATTCTGGCTTCCTACTTCGCCCAGTGATGTCTCTGTAGCCGCTGTTGTTTTTAATAAACTTAATAAGTTTGCAATTTGTTGCTGCAATCAGCGAGGGACAGCCGTAGTAGACACCGAAATTGCCACTCCACTAACATGCAAATCGGCAGCTCGACAACACATGGCGTATACTTAATTTGGGCACAAATTATGCAGGCGTCACGCGATAAACTAATTTGAAAAGAACATTGGCCAAACTCTTACAAATACATGCATACATACACACAGCTTATTTGGGGCCCGCTAACGATCTTAAAATAAATGAGGAAAATATATAATACATAACTGCATAATATTCAGGCATTTTCTCTTGGGTTGGGCAACATGAAAACATTTTCATGCTCCCAAATTAAAGTCAATTAAAAGCTACTCTGTAGAGCAGTTACCAAAAAGGCTTTAAAATTATCTTTGGCTTAGCCGAAAAATTAATAACGACCCTTTTGGCCCTGCCCCAACTGAGCTGACCCAACTCAATTGCAATGTCCGCCTGTGTCTTGCACAGTTCATAAAGGCTCCACGAATGTGAAGTTCAGCAATGAATTAAAGCTGTTTACACGCTGGACAGCAAATAAAGATGGAGTTTTGGCCGAGTGGGGCGGGGGCAGCGCCCCAAATAAACAAACATATGCAGCAAGGCCAACGTTCAAATTGAATTTGCGCGCAGAGCCAAAGAGCATAACAAATAGACGATACATGTACGCCATGTGCGCTGAGTACAAAGCAAACCGCAAAAACACACGTGGAAGCCAGTTGATAACCAAGACAGTGGACACAAAAAGCAACAACAACAACAACAACTGCTACAAAAAATCAGTCAACCAGTCTGGCAGTCAGTCAGCCAGTCACCTACCTAGTCAGTCGGTTGTTCAACCGTGACGCTCAGATATTTGGCATGCGTGGCGTTATCCCAGCCTCTGGCATGGCCACAGCTGCTGTTAACCAAATCCTAGCATACACACACACACACACACACACACACACACTCTCACACACAAACACAAATAGAGCGCAAAACATCATCTTGGTCAGGCGGCGAGTGGCTAATGTCGCCACAGATGACAGTTAACAGTTAGCAGCGTGCCAGGTAAATAAATCAAACAAAAATGGCTACTTTGGCTACGTGACCAGCGAAATCCTCGGCCAAGGATTCGGCGTCCCTTGGATGGAGCACGCCCGTACGGTTTGACTGATTATCGGTCGGCTGCTTATGAGACATAGCCAAGGCAGAGCAGGCAGGCCATTGCGGAAGCTGACTCCAAGATGTGCGTGACGCAAATTGCAGACCAGTTACAGACAGCAAACAGCATCCCAGGTTGGGCATGTCGAGCTGTTCCAGTGACAAATGGGCGGCCTGTTAGATGTCTGGGTCCTTTGTCTCCGATCAATGTTCGTCGATGACACGACTCGGCCAGCAGTTGAGCAATAATGCCAGTTAACTGCTGTTGACAAATCAAACAACCATTTGGCCCAGCAGCCTGGCTCGAGATTAAAGTTGGCCAACTGTTGAAGTTTAAATTCAATAATTATATCAATATCAAACGATAAGCCGGCAACATTAACCTAGATTCAGCTCAAGCTCTAACGGCCCAGTGCTGCCAATTGTGGAGCTTCGAAGTAAGTTGGATTGTGGTTAAAAGTAGGCTGAAAGAGGCTAAGATGTAGGAAAAGCTGCTAACATGTTTTCTCCAAGTATTTCTCCAGGAATTTCCTATGTATATTTTCTCTAGGTATTTCCTCTCAGCATTTCTTCCGATTATTTCTATTAGGCATTTCCTCTAAGAAGTTTTTCTGAACATATCCTATGAGAATTCCCTCAAAGTATTTGCTCTAAGTCATACCTCCAAGTATATTTTCTAAGTGTTTCCGCTAAGTATTTCCTCTAATTCATTCCTCTTTCCTCACAAAATTTTCTTTAAAAATTTCCTCCAAGCATTTCCTCTAAGAGTTTCTTCCAAGTTTTCCTGTAAGTATTTCCCCTAAGTCATTTCCTTTAACGCTTAGCTATCATTAAATATTTTTTTTACTTCACACTTCACTTCACTTTCCCGCTCTACCCGACTAACTCCCACCAGATCAAGGCGACTGAAGAAATGCTGTAGCTGCTTCCCTTTATATAGGGCGGCTTTTACTCAATCACTCAGTTGCGCTCAGATGTTGAGCTCGTCACTAGGTAAAGATTGGTACGATCGAGCTGTGAGTGACCAATGGGAACAATGGGAACACTCTCTACTGCTGCAAGCATTCTTGATTCTTTTTACTCATAAGCAAATACCAAATGCATACTACTGCATACATATCGCGAAAATAAATGATCTTATGTAGTTAGGTAGACAGACGGACTGTGAGATGGACAGGGAGACAGACAGCGAAATGCATACAGACATACTTATAGATGTATAGGTAAACAACACGTATAGTTAAACACGTATAGTTAAAATAGCTCATTGCGCTGCTCAATAATATGTAATATAATAATAATATTATGATAAGGCTTAATATTGATATTCTAAATAACTGTATACATAATTTAACATTCTAATTTAATAATTATAGATATCAGTTACTTCTACTCTCCTAAACAATTTCTGGCTATTCCACTCCTTACTAGTTTTCACTGAATTTACTATTAATAGGTTGAACCATTTTCAGGCTACATCTAGCCTGGAATTGGCTAAAGTGGCAGCACTGCAACGGCCAAGTATGTTATGCTGGTATGCATGAAAGTGAGCTGAAATTCATTTTAAGCACCGTTTGTCCAGGCGCACATTAATTTTGTTAGCAACATGCAATGGAAATTTAAGATTGCTGAACAATGGCGTTTGACCTCGCCTGACCTGCTGAACGGGCACCAGCTGACCCAGGCGATGGCCCACACCCATCACACTGATATACAATGCATGTGCATGCGATTTCATTCGAGTGCCTGTAACGGCCGCAGCGTGTGTGTGCGAGTGCCTGTATCTGTGTGTATGTGTGTGTGTGTGTGTATAATAAGGCTGCATATATTATGGCATATATATTGTGCCATATATCAGAGGCTTTGCTAACAATTTCTCTCACACTGGGCCCCGGCGCCGGACGCTTAAGTATATGGACTGCAATTGGCTCGCTCCTCTCACTGTTCTCCCGCTGCTCGGCCGCATTGTTGCCGTTGTTTGCCTTGCGGTGATCACTCAATTTGAATTAATTTGCGGCTGTCATACAATCTAAAATTAGTTTATGCCGATTTGCATAAACCAACATTGAAGCTGGCTCAAACTTTGGCTGCTGACTCCAGGCTGCCATTGTGAGAGCGCTTCACATGCAATTTTTTATCATCAGCCTGCAAAGGCTGCCAACGAACTATTATTTAAGGATGCCTCGCTTAGGCTAACTCTGCGATTCCGAGACCAATAATCAAAAGTTAATTCCGTTGCCCTGTCTATATAGATATGAATGGGGGTCTGAGCCAGGGGCTTTGCACACTGTCTTAATACCTTCAGCTGTGGCTTTTTGTGACTCTTTTGTTGTGTTGGCCGAAAGGCTTTTAACGTCAACAACGGTTAACTTAGCAACAGCTGGCTCAAAGCTTTGGGCATTTCAAGTTTTGCGGTTTTTGAGGCACTCAAAGGAACAAAAAAGTGAAAAAATAAAAGAGAAACAAGTAAACCGAATATTTTGGCACTTTGCTTTAGCCTTTTGTCGACTAATTCGGTTTTTTGTTTATTTCCCCACACACGCACACACACATACACAGAGCGACTTGGCAGTTTTTCTACTCTGCAGCAGCAGCAGCAGCAGCATTTGAGAAGAAAAAACGGCAATTTACTAGCTTTTGAGCTGCCGTACAGCAGCTGTGTCTCTTAGTGCATATGTCTGCATATATGTATGTACGCTGCAGAGGCTTAACGTGCCACAAGACCAGAGAGTGCGGATATTTAGTGGCAACGGGGCAGAAGAAACTCTGCTCTGCATCCAGGCTTAATTGCAATGCCAAAGAGTAGAGTTTTGCCTCATTTATATATTTAAGATAAAGCTGATAAGTCTACATATATCATTTTAGCTAGTAGGTCGAGTTTTATATTTCATAAATGATGTAAAAGTATTTATAATGTGCACTTGAGACAAATACTGACTGAAATCTGATTTCGTTTCGTTTCGTTCTTTTAAATAGATATGAATAGTTTTATTTTTAAATATTTGCGGAAATGAATACCAAGCGAAACATGGAATCAGCAACGGGACAACGACACGCAAAAGATAAGAAGAAACGCAAAATTACCGTGCAGAGCCTATCCCGGATGCCAGCCCACTGTCCTGTAGGCGGCTGCTCAGACATCGTATTCCCGTCCAATGTGATGCTGCACATGCTGCACAAGCACTCCAATGGCCCGAATTGCACAGCCGCCGAGGTATTCGAGCATCGGCCTCAGCTGCTGTACTTCGATCCGACTGGCTACGTGCACGGAGACAACTGCTGTATTGGCACGCTCATGTATGGAGGCGTGAAGGGAAAGCCAACCACGCGACCGGGAGTCGACAGGCTGAGCTTTCTGAACTCGGGTCTGTTGAACACTTATGGGAAGTATGATACCTACTTGCCCATAATGGTGATGGCCTGTCGAACCACCTGGTTTGCTCACCTGAAGGACAAGCAGCTGGAACAAGAGATGCTCTCAAAGACCGAAGGCACTGGCGGCATCTATGTCTTCTGGCTGGTGGCGCCCGTTACCACGCGCAAGGTCTTTTACACCCTCACCATCTTCGATCGTCACTACATTAGCTCGCGCAGCTCGATTCGCACGGTGCGCGACTACACCAACTTCCAGGATCCAAGCGACTTTCTACCCATCGATGAGAACTATATTATGTTGCGCGACTCGGAGGTTCTCGAACTCATGAACATCGGCAGAATCGTTCACAGCAAAGGCGGAAAGCAAGCGCCACGCGGCATACCAATGGAAGTGATTGTCTATCAGAAACCATTGAAGCCCTCTGGCATTCTCAGTACTCAGCCAGAAATGCAGGCGGCGCTGAAGGAGGCTCGGACTTTATACAGTACGTGCGTAATGCCACGCACCAAGGGGACTGTCAATCGCGAAATTTCGGGCAAGATGTCACTCACCAGAAAGCCGCTCTCCAAGACAAGGGCTAATCTAGCTCACGTCCGTGCCTCACGTTAAATGTTTCCAACTCCACTTACAAACTCTGCGACAAAAGCGTCTGATTTTGAAATTTTATGTTAAATCTAATAAAATCCCATATGAGCTATGAGCTATGAGCAAGTCGAATACACGAGGAACTATAATATGTATATGAGTGCAGTACAGTCTTTGAGGAGTCTGTTGCCACGGTACCTGCAGAAGTGGTGGGCACATTATTATATAATAAGCAGACAGCTGATTGAAAACCAAATGCGCACAAATTGCCAAAGGCTGGAGTCGTAGCCCGAGTCTTCCCACAGCCGCAAGGTGTGTGGACTAAGCAGCTTTTGTGCATGCATCCACACGCACAGCCACACAGAGACACTTGAATACACATGCAGCCATTCAGCATTCCATGCAAATGACGCTAATTGTATTACAATTTGCTTGAATGCCTAAAAGCGGGCAATGGCAAATCACAAACCGCTTAGCTCGGATATTATATGGAGTATACAGTTACGCCGGGGTGGGCTGGGCAATTGTTGCGCATTTGGGCTGAGCCAGCTCGGGAGCTCGGCAGCCCGCACCACCCAACAACAAGTGCAGCCAACCACTTGCCACACATGCAATTTTAATCATGAGAAATATGTGCTGTGCGCTGCTGCAGCCACGATGATGGAGCACGGCCATTGACTGGTTGGGTTGGCCGTAAATGCGGTAAACAGCCCGCACCCACTTAAATTATGCCTTTCATAGCAGTTATTCACTGTTATCGGTGGTCGGATAAGAATGCTGGCTGCGTTTGTGCTTGTGCACTCCATCTGAACGCATACCGCTAATCCGTCGAGCCCACCGCCCGACAAGCCAGCAAGCCCAGCTGAGAGCCAAAATGCGTTTATTCACTCGGAAAATTATGGTATTTCAAATGATGTCCTTTGCAGCTGTAATTAAAAATAAACTGCAAAAATATGTTGAATAATTTATCAACATTCATTTTTAGCTAAAAGTAAGTCAAGGAGAAATATTTTACAAATTAATTTTCATAATAATAATTAGAAATAATTTGAATTTCCACTAAAGGCAGCAGCATACTTGTTAAATAAAATATACAATTATTTTTATTGAAAAAAAAAAAAAAAAACAAAAATAATATGATAATAATATTGCCAAAAATATGGGATGTTTGTTGGCAATATTATGAAAAAAAAAAGAAAGTATTTTATAGTATGTATAGTCATAATTTACACCAGACTGCAAGTGAAGGCGATTGTAGTATATTACACACATACATATATGGAATATCAGCACACATATATGGAATATAAGCAATATGCAGGCAATTGAGTGAGTCTGGACTCACTCATACTACAATAATTGTTTCGATTGTAGCTCTACTATTTGAGTGAGGAAGAATAATCTTAATAATATATAATGTCAATGAAGTTCATAAACAGTGACGAAGGAACAGAGAGATAGAAAGGGAGAAAGAGCTATAGAGAGAAAGAACGATAAAGATAGAGAAAGAGAGAGATATACGATAAAAGACATAACTAGAGAGAGATATTAAGAATGATAGATAGAAGCAAGGACAAAGGTAAATAAAGTACATAAAATTATTATTCTATAATTTATGAATGCTCACCGTATATTAACTTTATCGATATTATACATATCCATATGAAAAACTGCACCCCTATAGATGGAATTGGCACACAGAATGGTGCTTGTTCGAATGCTCACCTGCAATGTGTTGACAACAACAGCAACAACAACAACAATAACAGGGTGACTATATTGTTTGGGTTAATATATTGCAATTTATATATATTTTTCTTTCACTCCACAAATGTCAAAAGCTGATGTGTTTTTTCATTCTTTCTTTCTTTCTTTCTAGCGCGAGTAGCAGTAAAAACGGCTCCGTATAACGAATGTGAATGCCAGGAAAACGATTCAAGTGCTCGACTGCTCGACAAATTCAGGACAATGTTAAAAAACGCCCACGACCATTCGCTCGCTCCACCTACCCGTGCGCTTTATCACATTCTCGGCAGCTGGCTTCGCCCTGTACATACATACTTACATGCAAAGATATATTGTTTACTGCCTGCTTGCAGTTTTTGTTCCCGCAACCTTCACGCAGAATCTGTCCATGTGCTCTTGTGATATACGCTTTGCCATCCAAACTGTCATCTTTGGGCTGCCGGCAGTGACAATGTGAGCAGCACAGGATGGGCGGAGAGAAAAAAGCAAATGCTGCCAAGAGGCTGCAGCTGCAACTGCAGCACTTGAGGTCTCCGGCATGGGAAAATACCAGCTCAGTTGGATCGGTCGGGGATTAGCCGAATGTTCGAAAGATGTGCGCCACAGAATGATGTTAGTGGCAACTGGAAGAAGTGCACACAAAATGTTGCAACGTCGCAAGACTGATGTGGCCATTTTGCTGCCAGCAATAACAATTTCAATTTGACATGCCTGTCCCAAAAAGTCATTAGCATGCCAGTTCATGCATATCTACACATAGAACCCCACTATGTGTATAATGAACACAAATAAGCTATATATATGTATATATGTATGCTGCAATTTTTAATATTGCCCAAAGCACTGAACTGATTCTTCAATAGAACGAGCGATAAACTTTAGTTCAGATAATAATCGTAAAGTAAACACAAATAAGATATGCATATACATAAGCTGAAGTACTGAAATGATTTTCACTCGAACTAGAGATAAGCTTTCATTCACTCTAAATTTAATTTGACTACTCAATGTCAAGATAATAATCTTGAAATAAACACAAAGGCGATATACATATATGCTACAATACTTAATATTTTTAAAATGATTTTTCAGCTTTAGTTTACTCTGAATTTAATTTGACTTCTCAATGCCAAGAGATTAACACAAATAAGATAAACATATGTATATGCTGCAATACTAAATATTATTTACAGTATTGAACTGATGATAAACTGTAGCTCACTCCAAACATAAATTGATTTCTTAATGTCAAAATAATAATCCCAAAATCATTTATATATATACTATATATTATGGAAATTATATTTCAGCTTTGGTTTTCTCTTATAAACGCCAAGATAATAATCATTTAAGGCTGTGGCTGCCCTCCCTGCAAGAATTGTTGCTAATACTAATCATCAATTCCAAATCGATGATGGAAATATCTGAAGCAAGCAATATATTTAAAGCCAATAATTATGGCTACGCATGCAGCTACAATTGAGAGCACAAGTCACTTGACGTATTATATGTGTATATATAAGCAAGGGATTGAGTGAATGGTAGGGCACGGATTGGCTGTGCTGCAAGCAGCAAATGGAGCTGCCTCACTTTGTTTATGTTTGCCGTACATGAACATTAACACTTTGCTGCTAATGATAAATAGCTCGGGAAGTGGGGGCTTGGAGTGCAAGCATCTCTGACTGGGCGAGGCGAGTGGGCGAACAGCAATAACGACAGCTACGGCATAACATTATTAATAGAGCTAAGTGTTCAACAAGGGTCCCTCAAGGAATGGAAAGTTTGCTTTGCAAGTCAAGCTGGCTTGCCAACTAACTTGTTTGGAGCTTGTTACATGCGTTTTCTTGGCTGCGGTTTCTGTTTACAACCGACTCGGTTGAGGCCGATGATTGGTTGCCTCCATTAAAGCTGTTGCAAATAACGTTTAAAGCTGCTGCTGCTGCTGGTAGGTGAGAGTCGAAGACTAGCTTGAGGTTGAGGTTTGCTATGCATTTAATTAATTTGAATCTCAATTTATTCAGTAAATCGTGCAGATCGTCCAAATGAGCCAAATTGTATTTTATGTCTTTTCAGTATAAATCATTGCAAATTTATGGCAACAATTGGCTTAAATAGTCAAACGATATATCCAAGAGATAATTTACACAAACACACACACACACACTCGCACAGCAGAATTGCTAGAAAGGAAAAAAGCAAAGTTATTTTGAAATTATTATTTGTTTTTTAAATTTATGATGCAATTCGAAATGTTAAATTGGGAGGGCAGCCGGAAAAGAATGAAGTATTCTTTAATGCTCTGCAATTGTATTTATTATTGGTGCTTTGGCCGGCAGGTTTACGGCCACGCTTGGCCTTATCACTTGAACGGGAAATTAGAATTATTGTCCTGGCTTTTATTACGGTCATAAATTTGGCAACAACCAATGCAAGTGAATTTGCCGTGCTGCATTAAAGATGAGTTATGGCCCCAGATGGTGTTAAAGTGTGGCTTTAATTTTAATTAGTTTGCTCTTCTGATGGGGCTATTGTGCGACCGCATTGTTTGCCTTTCAAGCACGTGCACCTCCTGGGAGAGAACAGAAACAAAACGAAAACAAAACAGAGCCAAAACCGAAACCAAAACCAAAACAAAAACCAATACAAACAATAATAAAATAAACTATGCTTCCAATTGTTCAAACTGCTTCAATTGTTTGCTCATCGAACTACTGTTCTCTGTTTGCTGTTTTTCATGCATAGCAAAAGGCAAAAAGCAAAAAGCAAAAAGGGTTTGCTTCTGGCCGTTACTCCCATTTGGAAATGTTGCTCGCGTTTGATTTGAGTGTGTTCGCTTGTTTGGCTGTTTTGATGCTTTCAAAATTTGCATAGGCAAGCGTTTCTCTGTCTGGGGATTGCAACGGAGTTTGCATATTGCCCCAGGCTGGCAATAAAGCGGCTTACATCAGAATATTGAAGAGCTAGCCTCGGCTAGGGTAGGCCCATCCATCCATGCACATACATAGACATACACACGTCTGTAGGCGTATTCATCCCTCTGTTAGTCGATGGAAAATCTGAAACAAAAATGTTTGTTAGGGATTTTAAAAAAATGAAAAACGTTTTAGGGGTGCCTCTGTTGTTGTTTTCAGCTCAGGTGTATTTTCAACTTATGTTTCTACCTCTGTGTTATTTTTATTGAAATATTAAAGCGATGCATGCAGAAGAATTCAAGTCTCGTGAATATTGTTTTAAAAATCTTTCTACACACTAGACTGAAGAGCTTTGCTCTGAGTGCAAACACAAGTTCGAGATTTGCTGGCT